GCATAAATTCCTCTAAGTAATTTAAACATGAGGTTGTTTAAGAAGGTCATTTTTTATCCATTCATTTATTGAAATATTTGCATTACTTCTTATATATTAAAATTTACATATATTATGTACTTTTTTCAGTAGACAATCCAAGAATATTCTATATGTTAAAATGTATGGTATATGCAATAATTCCCCCCCCCAAAAAAAAGAAAAAAAAAAAAACTTATCCTCTATTTGTGATCTTATTATCTGATTGTGTCTTCTTCAAAATACACAAATAATCTGATGGAATGAAAATATTTTGGTCATTAAAACTTTTTAATCACTGCTCTTTACATCTACATTTCTTTTTTCACATAATCTGAAGTTTTCGAGTAGTCTGAAGGTTTTCAAACTGTGTTTCACAGAAATTTTAGATACCATGCAACTCCTCTAGGGCATCTGTAAGTCAAAATTTAAAACAATTTTTAATATCACTGGACATCAAAATGAAATACTTGAAATAATCTTTGAAATTCTCTTATTATTGTTAAAAAATATTAAGCAGATTTTTGTTTATGATTAAATTTATAATGAAATAATGAATTTCTTTTTACTTTCTGCATAAAATGCACAAATTTTATATTTCAATTCTTTAACATTTATTTTTCTGAGGATAGAAATTCTTCTATAGAAAAAATTACGATTTTAGAAGTTTTTCTGAATTTAAAGATTTGAAGACAACCCTGTTATAAGGGTTTACGATTATAATGTGAATGACCCAAATAATTGTAAATGGCCTATGGCCATACTTAATACACATATTATTTAAATTGACATGCTTTACCTGTAATGTACATTTGTGACTTATGTTATAATTTAAGTGCACCAGTTTACTCACACTTATCTGTATTGTATGTATGTAGTATTATATGCATCTCTAGACTCAGGTTAAAGCTAGCTCGTTTTCCCTTTCTCAGCTTTCCCAGATGACATTTTTGGGTCTTTACTGGAACTCGACGCACACTTTATTTCGGCTAGAATAACCACTTATCTCACTCTTCTTTTATTCAAAAATTATAACATACTAATTTGGGGAAAAAATTATATTTTATGTTAGTTACTCATGACAACATTCGAAACAACCTACATGTTCGACAAGGGGTAGGGGTCTAGGAAAGCCACAACTTTTTCAATGAACTGGATGAATAAATGCAGCCCTGCCTTTTGTTGTGTTTTATGCATTTATAAATTTCTACCTGACTGTTTATTCTTTAATTCTATATAACACAATTAATCGATGCTTGTTTCTTGTATGGAATTTTAACATTAATTCTACATAATAACATGAGTAATCTTTTTTTTTTTAAATTGTATTTTAGCATTATTAAAAAACACTTTGGCACTATGAACTGAGAATATCTGTCAATCTGTCTTCTACGTTAATTTACAATAATATAAATGTGAATATCTGAATGGAGTTATATTGAAAGATCTACTGGATGCTATGATTCCATGATGGTCAATCCACCACATTGGAAATATTAAATCAAACAATAAGTACAGGAAAAGATTCAGCAAGACAATATATCCTCTTTTGAATGAATACATTTAACTGTAGTTATTCCATATGATGTATTATACAACACCCCAAAATCATGGAAAATAACTTTCTAAACCGAGTTTACAGTGTAAAAAAAGTAGTGGAAAAATGTTGTAGTCATGTAACTGGGCTATCTAACATAAAAATTACAGCATATTACACCAGTGTTCTTACCTTTACTGCATATTACAACCAAATAACTACAATTAGATATGAGAAAGAACAGGCAGTGTCAGTACAACCAAGAGTAAAACTTTTACAGAGTTGCTAATTTGAAAACAAGTGAACCTGTAAAACTAACCCTGCATACTGGTTTGCTTTAGATGCATTTGGTAACCAATATGCCGTAAGTCTTTACCAGATTCAGTTTTGAGTGCATTAAATACTATATTGCTCATATGTCTTGATCGTGACAATCAATGCAGCTGCAGCATTATTGAATAGAAATAAGTTATATGACTCTCAAATAAGTGTTTGTAAAGTTGTTCAGGAAATAAATATTACTAAATAATAACATGTATTATGTTTATTGAATTGTACAAAACTTATATGTTATACTTTGAATTATCGTCAATTTTAATTGTCTGAAATCTGGTATTTGATAGTATATAGTTGTAGCAGTTTTTTCACTATAAATTCTGAAGAATCCGAAAATAAATGCACATACTAAAGTATTTCAAGTATGATAATATTCAGTATTTAAGATTATCCTAAAAGTATGAAATTTATTATTTTATTTGAAAATAAGTATTAGTGTATCCATGGCATGCAGGTCCCCGAGATTACTCTATTATCCACTCATAGGTGGGGGTGTCACCTTTGCCAAAGGCTCTTTGTAGCCTGCTTTAGGTTTTATACTAATTTTAATTACTGGCCATCTACTGAAATGGTTTCTTTATGTATATCCACCTTTATTCCAACTCTGGTATTTCTACGGCGATGGAGGTTTAGTTGACCATACTTCTTGACAATTCTTTTACTTTTTTTTAGTTTAATTTTTTTTTTCAATTTGAAGCGGTAGACCAGTATTTTCATCTCGCATAACTGTTTTTGAAGCAGACTCGAAAATCTCCTTCAAAGAGTTGGCTACATTGTGTAAATTTTCGCTATCTAAATTCCAAAGGAGTGACCGAATTGATCTGTAATTTGCATCGCACTCATTGATCAAATTTCTTTTTTTACTCAACGTTGCTTCTTCAGATATGGTGGGTAAATTATCTGATGTTCCACCTGAAGGAGTTTCAGTTGATGAATATTTTCGTTTTCTGGTGCCTGAAATACTTCTTGAGACTAAATCTTCATCAACTTTGAAAATAGGTGTTGAAAATAGCCATTCTGCAGTACATTCCAAACTCCAGGCTGGAAACTTCATGCCAGCAAACACAATATGCTTGCACAGCAGTCGGTTTCTTCTGAAATCTAAGCATGTGCATTGACACAGTTGTTTCTGTTCATCAAACGTGACAGAATAAACTGCATCATGCTTAGTTTCAGAAGAAACTTTAAAGAAGCCATGTGAAATTTTTTTTATACTACCCACATAAACTTCAGCAGCTCTTAATTTTGTTTTTATGTGATCAATTAACCATTTTGGCTTATTGATTAAATAATTTGGTACATGTTCATTGTATAATCTGGCCTGCGAAAGCATACTCAGATTTTTTCTGACGTAAATTCTATATCTTTCTGGCAGAAATTTCTCAACCAAGATCTTAATTATTTCAGACAGCATACAGTTTTTATATCCCTGAAGATATCTATATTTTAGTTCCTCATTTAAGCGTTCAACACCATTGTTCGAGTTTATGAATAAGTCATTTGGTTTGTAAGCCAAAGCCCATCTCTCAATTTCCTTGAACCATGTTAATTCAAAATAATCTTTCACAGCTTCATATTGGTTCCATGATTTTAATACCTCTATTGCTGCAACCATTTCATCTTGAGTTGGAGCATTTGCTATGGCACGTAATTTACACAAAAGCTCTTCTTTGGGAACCACTGCATTCTTTTTCTTAGAAGCCCATCTTGACCATGCCTGCTCTCGATGGAAACTACATATAAAAACCTTAATTCCTGTAAAGACATTTTCCAAACTTGTAATTTCTTCCATTGCAAAATCAACCATCCCATATTTTGGTCTAACGAGAGGCGACCAATTTTTAATAATTATAAGAGCTTCTTCTAATGCTTTGGCTGTTTCATTTTGTGTAATTATTATGCTCACTATTTGATAGTTCACATTTGTTTTGACAACTAAAAAATAAAGTGGGAGAGCATACTTACAGGTTCGATAGGTCGCGTCGAGAAGAACAAGATTAGAACCATATAAGACATATAAATTTTTCATTTCTTCACTTTGATATACAAATAGCAGATTTAGTTTTGAATCTGTAAAGTCATTTGGCTCAGTACCATCATATGTATTTTCAGTACATGGTCTAAAAAAAACAGAACACTTGGAAGTATCCCAGCTATTTATTAACATTTCTGTATTTTCCTGGTCAATTTTACTAGTTCTAATATCGGATTTTGCTTGGCTTATTATTTTCCTTATTGCCTCCATTTCTGGATAAAATCGTCTGCGCGTTTTATCAGTTTCTCCCAATTCAGTTGAAACGTATACTTCTAATAGCTCTGCAATTACAGTGGCATTGCATTTTCCATTCTTAACTTTAGAAGCTATGAAATGCCGCACTCTAGCATCTATAGGTTCTATTACTGCAGCCATGTTACCCATTAGATGATTTTGATGATCTTGGCTATTAGGTAAATTAAACATGAAAACTTCTTCACCAGCAATACTATCTTTATTGGCTAGTTTTTCCTTAATTTTCCGAGATATCATAATCTTTCTTTTTCGGGTTGGCACTACCTGTAATTTAAACATATTTATCACAGTAAAATTTAGAAATTCCAGCACAGTCATCTAAAACTAATTATTGATAAAGGTTCAATTTTAAAAACTTTCTGTTCATAGCAAATTATTCAAAAAAAAAAAAAAAAAAAAAAAAAGAGAGGAGTCATTTCTTTCCTTTAAAAAAAGCTGTAAAAAGGATCTTCCATTTTTATAACAATAGATCAAATTACTTCTTCAAAGAAACATAACCAATAAAACTTCACTTTGAACAACTTATTTCTATTTGTAGCAAATTGGTTAGAATATAATTAGCATAAAAAGCCTTTATTTCTGGCCTGAAAACATCATTTTATTTGCATGTCAATTACTGAATTATTTATTTAGGAAAATATTACTGTTAAAAACCCTCTTTTGGCCAAAAAAAAAAAAAAAAAAAAAAAAAAAAACTATTTAGAAAAATATGTTGAATAAAGAGACACAAAAAATCATTTCTCTTTTTTACATTGTGACTCTAAAAATACCTTTTGTTTTTATGTCAAAAAGTATGTATACTTTATCATAGAATACCTTCAATACATCTTGCTCATACGTGACAGAATTATATTTTTTCCTTAAAAAAAAATTCTCTAAAATTACTAAGACCATCTTAGAACAAAAAGTTAAATAAACTTCTACCTTGAACTGAGGCATCCTGTACATTCGGGTAACATTAATTACAGCTGGACAATTAACTTTTTTAGTTGTCTGGTTCTTGGAATATGCTTTACCAAAAGCATGATCAGTTTGACACTAAAAGAAAAAAAAAAAAAAAAAACACACACACATATATATATAATCCAAGAGGTGATATTTTTGTATAAATTTTTAAATATAACAATGTTATTTTACCTTTTCATTTTTTTCTTTAGCATAATTTTCCTTTTGACGTTTATTCAGATCTTTTCCTTGATGGCAAACATAGGTTTTTTCGCCCAAAGTGGAAATAGGGAATATCATCTAACCAGTTTAATCGTAAATCTGGAGTTAGTTCAACTGGAAAGAAAATTTTGATTTAGATCACAATCTGATAAGCTTTGATTTTTAAAAGAAAGAAATTACAGATCTCTATAAACATATTATACATTTAACATTATACTTTGATTTTTAAAAGAAAGAAATTACAGATCTCTATAAACATATTATACATTTAACTGTCTCTATATATACTACATACTGTAGACACTGCTTAATGTATTGCAGCTGATGTCGTGTGTATATTGCTATTGAATTTCTAAGTTCTGCTCTTTCATATATGGAAACATAAAAAATGCATCATTTGCTGTAATTTTATTTGCTCAATTTGGTTAATATAATCAAAATATTATACAATAAATTTCTTAAACTGAAGAACGAAAATGATTTTAATCAAGCATTTAGAAAAAAGCGCAAAACAATAAAATTAAAAAAAAAAAAACTTAATTTCATACGAATTTTCAATAGCTATTGATTTGGAAGGGCTTCAGCACAGTTCCCTCTTCTTCAAAAGGGAGGTAAAAATTCCTGAAAACATCTTTGCCAAAATACACTTGCGTTTTTGCCCAATTTCAGATTTTACATTGGCAAAATCTCTTTAAACAAGGATGCCCTCCAAGTATTAAGATTATAGGTATAGAATTGGTCCAATAAATTTCAGAAACATTATGGACTACTCAAATGAACTTTTGCAATGAAGACTGTAAACAATTGATAAACAAACTTTTATTTTTCCTAATTAAAATGTTAAGAAAGTGGCTAGTTATATTTATAGTTAATTCAATTCCTATTTTAAAAGATACTTTTCTCATCATCTTATATTATCAAAAATGGGCAAATGTAATCACATTAAGCAGCACCTACTGCAAACATAGAGAGAGATATTAAAAGCATTAAACTATTATGTAAAAAAATTATGTCATTTTGTCTCATATTAAAATTATATATGCTAGGTAAAGTATAGAATGAGCTAGCTGCCTTACGCAAAAGGGATGCCTTTGAGAAGGTCTAATGGGAAACTGTCTTGTATTCACTTATATATAAGGAGAACAGGAAAATTCCCATGCAGCTAATCCATTCAACAGTATTTGTACCTTGATCAAACATCCAGTATTCAGCTATCTTATCTGCTAGTCCATTGGTGCTAAGAGTCAAAATAGACAATAGACAGTAATGTGATTTTACACACAAGATAAGTAGCATTCATTGACTAAAGAAATATATATATCACATCACTAAAGAAATATATATACATTTCAGAAAACTTTCCTGTTTTCTAAAATTCAATATCTTTATTATTATAACTTCCTGATATTTCAATGCATTATAATTTTATGGTGAACTATTACCTGAAAATAAAACAGAATATTTTTTGAATTGGTAGTGTTTATTATAAGGTTATTTTGAAACATGTTGTTAATGATAAAACTAAAGAATGGATTTTCTTTATAGACTATTAAATGATTATATTTCAAATCAACAGACTGCATTCATACACTAAAATAGGATGAAAAATATAGTAGTCATCGAGACAAATGTCGAGTTTCTCAAGAAACAACAATAAAAATTTTCAAATCTAACACGGTATATCTTGTTTAATGTTTAATATAGTACGGAATGTTTCGTGAAGCATCAGCTATTTAAAAAAAAAAAAAAAAAAAAAACATGCAATACCTGACAATGAAACCAAATAAAAATCAAACATAACGCTATTACACGTTATGCAACAAAATTAATGAATATGAACGTCTATAAACCCTTTTTTCAACTTGGACCGAATCTCGCAACATCAACTAGATCTTACGCAATAAAATTAATACAAATTAGTGCTGATAAGTTCTTTGGAACAAAATGGCCAAATATCAACTAAACAACCAAAGAAAGCATTTACATTCTAGAGGATTTTTATTTACTCATTACATCTTCAAAAATTACTTACTCTCTTTATCGAATGACTTTCCATAGTAGTAAACATATTTTGTTACAGTTTCTACTTCGTGTCTGCGAAGTATTTCTTTAAATTCGCTCCAAGATTTCGCAAAATTCATTTTGCCTCTAAACACAAAGGTTCATACACGAGACGGACTTTGAAACTCGTAATCGATAAACCGGCCATTCCCCTATCGTTGACACAAGTCTTTCTATCGATGGGGAAAGGAAGACTCGCGCTTGTGACTCTTGGCCATCCGAAAAAGCGGCGACCGCAATCCATTATCATGTAAAAGTCGCAATTCTACTTTATAAAGTTATCGTATTTTAATTTCCTTTACTTGTTCCTTTTTGTATTTTTTCCAGAACTGATGTTCTCTTTCTTACTTCAAAGAACTATACTGGGATTAATTTTAGTATGGTCAATATGTGTACATTTTCATAGCCATACGGTCGTTTATTCCCAGAAATCGGAAGACTCGTCTTCTAATGAATCATCGCTGGGAGAACTTATTTATTCTAAGAGACACGAGGAAAATATTGGAAATGTAAATCATTCTAGAAGTCTTAATATTTCATACGAAAAATTTCCTAGTCATAATAAGACAGTTAATACAAAGTCGTCTGTGGACAATTATTTTAATTCAACCGTAAGCCTACCGGTTTGGATGTTAAACATTAAAAGTGGTGCTTTGCAAAGGACAGCTTACGTTGCGCTAGGCATTATGTCTGTTATTGTAATTTTCTTCATAGTAAGAGGCATAAGGTAAGAATCTTCTGCACTTATTCACCGGCATATATATATATATATATATATAATGTTGTATGAACTTAAATGCATTTAGTGCGAATAACAATTTATTATTGCGAATTGCTGCAAAGTTAGTTAATAATAATTTATTTCCTAAACCGTTGATTAAGGATTTATATTATCTCCTAGTTTAATTAAAGTGAATTATTTTAAAAGTGTGCACCATACTGGTAAGTTATATTTTGAATTTTTGAAGTAATTTGAAAGCAAATGTTAAAATTTTTAAAACGGGACTGGAGAAATCATCACGAAGAATAATATTACAATGCAAAGTAAAATTAAACATGTAATTATTGTCATTGAGCGAAATTAAAATCATAAGATGATAGTGTCGGGGACGATTACTCGAGTTTTACAAGATTTCTCTACAGTATTGATTTTTACTCCAATTGAATTGACTAAAATGCTTCATGAGAATCAGTTCTTTGAGTACACTATTCGCGGAAATATTGGGCCTGACTAAATGCCGGTTTGGCTTTAATTTATAACTCGAGTAAAGACGAAACACTTCATATTTACGTATTCTATCAATTATTGATCATTGAACGGGAGTGGTTTGTTCCCCTTGAAAAGTCAACTAATTTCCGATCAATGACAATAATTACATGTTTTAATTTTTACTTTTGCAATTGTAATATTATTCTTCGTGATGATTTAACTCCAGTCCCCGTTAAAACATTATTAACATTTTGCTTTCAAATTACTTCAAACATCTTTCAAAATATAACTTACCAGTATGGATGCACACTTTTAAAAAATTCTACTTTAATTAAACTTAGGAGATAATAATCAATTAATCAATACGGTTTAGGAAATAAATTATATATATATTTTTTTTTTTCAAATTGTCTTCCAAATTTTGCGTATAGGTAAATAAGTACTTTTGCGATTAAACTGTCGATCATTGTTTAGTGTGACTAAAACGACCTGTGTTCAGCCGTAAGCCCACCGGTTCCGGGTCCCTTATACTTATACTAGGTATAAAATTGCTCTACCAGTTTCTCACTTCCCCAGTTTCAGAATCTGAAACACGTGAAATAACCTGTATGTGCAACATCTACCTTTTTTAATTAAATTAAGATTTAATTTGTATTAAGTCATCTTAAGTCAAGAGTGAATCACACGTGAAGGTTGGACTCATGTGTGATTGGACTCAAGAGAGTGTTTTACATTCCTCTACAAGTCTTCAACTGGATAAAAATATTCTTCAGAAATACACTCATGTCCATAAATTAAGGATAATGCAAAATCAGGCAAAGGAAGAGTTAGAACGAAAACTTATTTGTAAAGCTTATTTATTAAACAAAAGGTAAAGAGCAAAAAATATGCTATATGTTTGATATTATTAAAAAAATTAGTGATTTTTTTCTCCCTGGAGCAAATTACAAAGAAAACCTATTTACAAAAAACCAATATTACATGGTTGGTTATGATTGTTAATACATGTATGTCTTCCAGACGATGCAATACAGTCCGTACAACGCCTAGGCATGTTGAGTATCAAATATCGATCTGATCGGGTGATATTACACCACTCAAAAAGCAATGCTCTCCGAAGTTCCGGTAGACATGTAGGAGGGAGTTGACGGCTGCAACTCGTCGCCAAATGTCCACACGTGCTCTACTGGATTTCAAGTCGGTGAGAATGCTGGCCAGTCCATACGGGTGAATCCTCCGATTGAAGGCATTCGCTTACGATGTTTGCACGGTGAGGGACGGGCGTTGTCATCCATAAACACAAATTGTGCGCCCATGGCGCCGAAACAAATGTACATGTTCCCAAATGACGTCCGATAGATTTGGCTTGTCATGATTCCAATTTGAACATGCAGGTCAGTTCTGGAACCCAGAATAATTTCACCCCAAAACGAGCACTCCTGCACCACCGTAACGGTGTCGTTCAATGATGTTTTCTTGGGTAACGAATACCTGGAGCTCTCCATATGAAAGTCCGGCGAGAATCAGACTGCAAGCTAAACCTGGACTCGTCGGAAAACATCACACAGCCCACTGTTGCGGTGTCCACAATGCATGCTCTCTACTCCAGGCTAACCGCAGGCGACAGTGAGTTGCAGTAAGTGGGAAACGCATCTGACAGGTCTACGAGCATATAGACCAATCTGCCCTAAGCGTCTGTACACGGTCTGCCTTGAAATTGTCGTACCAGTGGCTGAAGAGAGCTGACGACAGGTCTGAGGCTGTGCTCCACCTGTTTCTCTTGGCAGTAAACTGCCAAATACCGGTCCTCATTCGGCTGTAACTCTGGGCAACCTGTGCTGTAACGTCTACTCACATTACCATCATCTTGGAATCGTTGCCAAGCCTGGAGATGACACTCTGGCAATTCCAAGTTCGTTTGATACTTCCAGTGGGTACGCCACATTCCAGACGGCCGATAATTCTACACGTAAAAAATCATCCAAATACGTCCTTTGTGTCATAACTATTCGTTATTGCACTGAAAGCTTATAAAGTGCCTGCGAACTTTACTCTTTGCCGTATTCCTTATATATCACTATCATACACTATTGTCATTATGATGTACCATCAGTGTCATCTGGTTACTTCCTGAAATTTGCATATGATCCTTGAAGACGTGTGTAGTGATTTTACAGGTGATATATTTATTTTAGAGTTCGATTTCCGCGTGACTCCGAATTATCCTTAATTTATGGACATGAGTGTATATTACTAGTTAGTGACAAGTAACTTATGTGTATAATGTATAACATCTATCATAGATTTTTAAATTTTGTAAAATATTGCTAAAGATGCTTCTGTGCTAAAGTTGTCACTTGGAGCAGCTGTCAAAGTCTGAAGATTTGTCACCAGAATTGGTGAACCGCATAACCAGATTGCAAACATGTATAATTTTCAGACTGTACTGATAATGAGGCTGTGCATGCAATATCATTGATTCAATATTTTTTTCTCTACTCTTCTGTTATCAGGAGTGAATTCAGAAGTGTATGTGTCTGTATTCAGAAGTGTGTACATGCAGTAGTCTTTATGCAACATCATTCAGTCTTTTGTATTCTTCATCCCCTTCTCTCTGAAACATACAAAGAATTTAACTTGCTACCAGCAGTCCCCAGTTTATTGGTAGGTAAAGTATTTGGAGAAGAAAGTAAAAAACAGCAGGGAAAGAAGTCTTTGTGCCAGTAATTTGTTTCATAGTTCCATATAGGATTTGTATCTTATTGTTTTGTGCTTCATATATTGTTGTGCTTAAAGAATTTCCATCAGATTGTGGAAAGGACAAATAAATATGGGTGAAAATTGGAAAGTGTCAATATTTGATTCCATTGCTGAATTATGACCTCCAGAAATATAAATAAATGTTCTTTTTCTCCTTATATTATGGCTTTTCATTTTTTGAGGTTGCTGTTGTATTTTTATAGTTTTTGAGTAATTAAATATCACGAAATTTCATCAAAATGCTTGCAGTGGCCGATTTAACTAAAAAGTACCATATAAATATTGTAAATTCCTTTAAAAAAAAGGACAGGTATGAAGAAATAAAACACGTACTAAGAAAAGTTAATTTTGATAAAATTTGTTAAAATCAGATGACAAAGAATTTACAATTTTGTCAAATATATTTGTTGTCAAGTGTTCTGATATGCTACTTTTGTAGTTGAAATGTGCTTGAAAATTTGGTCCATACATTGGTGTCATAGCAGCTTTTCTTAGTTTTCTCACTTATCTGTGTTCTAGTAGTATTTTAGAATATGTGAATATTTGTTCTAAAGGTTTTATCAATGTTGTGTTGATTTTCTGCAACAGAATAACTTTTTCTGTAATATTCTGTAATACATTGCAGTTTTTAGCACATTCTACAGGATGGTTATAGTTCAAATTCCACTTTGAAATGGTCATAAAAGAAAAACTACTTGACCAAATGTTATGAAACTTGGTAATCGTGCAAAGGAGGTCATGGTAATTTATTTATGATAAAAAAAGTTCAAAAACTCATCACTAGGGGAAAATGGAGTTGTATGCTGTATTATTGAAATAATACGTGTCGGTTTAAAATGTGTTTATTCATTTCTGAAACGTGTTACAGAGCACGTTCAATGTGGCTTCTACCATTTTCCGAAAACAAGTTAAGTATTGCATTCTCAACAGCAGCTCTTAGCATATCAAGAGGACTGTTACAGACATGTCAGCATATCATATCTTTCAGTTTCACCAAATTGTTTAGGATATTTGCATTAATCATTTTCTTCTTGTTGCCATAAGCCATTATGGTTTTGCATAACCCCTTAAACAGTTTCATGTTAGAAATGATTAAAAACATTTTAAACCGATATCTTCATGTCTTAGGGCTGAATTCAGGCTTCAGAAATCACAAATTAGCAATCTGTAAGAAAACGGTTTCCGGATTGCGCACACTTTTACGAGTGATTTGAGATCTCCCATTTTCTAAATGCTAATTTGCGGTTTTCAAGGATGGATTTCTCCACTACATGGATGGCAGATTGGACTTTTGTCACCTTTAACCCCTTTAAATGATAATTTTGTTCAGGTCAAAGTTTCTTAACCTGTTCAGTACGGGCATGCCATCAGCAGCAAACATTACCTCATGGCCGGTTGTGTTATATTTGAATCAGCATTTAATTTACTCTATGGCAGGGCGTACCACATTTGACTTTTTAGATAGAACGTTTAATTAGTATTTTTTGTTGCCGCTAGATGTAGCTGTATGTATGTTATGGGGAAATATATCGAAAGTTAGGTTATGCATACCTTGATTCCTATGCAATGTTTTTTATTTTTGGAATGAGAGGGAGATTCACAGGTGGGTGTTAAGCAATGTAATGTCTCTTTAACTGCATCATTTGATATAAACAAATGCACGTGTTCACGATGCTTTGAGGTACTTTTTATTTTTATTTTTGTGATATAGGTATTTGAATGTAGAAGAATATACACAAATGCTAATTCGTTAGTGT